TGATTCGACTATGTAAATACTTAGTCGGGGACAGCCCTTCTTTCTTGTTCACGTACAATCGGGAGTCTGCAAAGGGAGTTTTATTTTGAAAATCGACCGGATTCTCTCTGCCGTTCTGTGTCCGACTTCCTGCCTGGTTCATCTGCTCTGTGCTGCTTGACGCGGCTTCAGTCAAAAATAGACTGGCCGTGAATATTTAACTTTAGCAAAACTTCAAAAAATAATAAACGCAAATTGAATCGTAATCGCGACATTTGGCACAAAAATCACAATTAGATTTTCCCCCCAAATTGTTCAGCCGTACCGTAAACCCAGGACACCGTTACTGTATCCTGGGTTTCCGTCAGGGCTGTTTCACAGGGTCCCGTACTCACCGAACACCTTGTGTACGTTAGTGGCCTTGAGGCCCATGAGGTCGGGCAGCTGGTCGATGATGAACTCCCTCTCCGCGGTGCGTTTGTGGACGCGTTCGATGCTGCGGCGCTGCCAGTCGGTCCAGTAGATGAAGTCGCCCAGAAGAGTGAAGCCGAAAATGTGAGGAAGTTTGTCCTCCACCAGCACCCGTCGTCCCTCCCGTCCATGTTCATCACCTGAGAGACAGACAGACATACAGAGAGGAGGGGCGTTACGCAGTGAGCGCGCTCAGAAACGGCGTCCTGCGTCACACACATCTGCAAGTAATGTGCATCAAATCAGCAGAACAATAAATATAAAACCTAAAAATAAGAAACTGAAAAGATATACAGAATATTAAAGAACAATTACCATTTTAAATGGATTTAATGAATAAACAGCAATGGAAAAAACTATTTAACGACACTCTGAAAATGTGCTGTGGTTCCAGCAGCTACTTCTTTAAGCTTGAAAATAAAACTATGTTCCATCAAGAGGCAACAAATCTGAAAGAATCGTTTAAACCTGCGTTTTAGCCGCAGGATCTTTACCCTCTTTACAGGATGCCATGACAGCAGAAATTTAGTACTTGATACCAGCAAAAACTCCACGATTCTCGATACCAAATTCGAACCACGTTAAAACAAAATCAATGAATCCCATCATGTCTTTCAACAAACACTCCTTGAAACATCACAAACAACAACTAACAGCTGAGAGAGGATGTCCAGGACAGATGAGAGGTGGTTTGATGTGAATATATTCAGAAATGAGCAAGCTGTTGAAATAACAACCTGTGCATATTTAATTGTTCATTAACTTTCTAAACTTTTCTTTACAAACTCACAGGTGTTTACATTTTTCTATCTATATTTGCAGCTGTCTGAGATTTTTAGTTTAAAAAACAAATCAGTTATTGATGACTGAAATGGATCGTGTTGCCCTTTTCAGACGCTCCCTAACTCCTCCCACAGTAACAGGAGCGTCGGACAGACGTTCAGTTCTGAGCCGAGCTGCAAACTGCATCCAGGCTTTGAAACGAAGTGAAACTAACTTCACCTGGTTCCCAAACTCTTTTCTATTGGACGAGTCGATGTGGAGCCGTCGCTGCAGCCGTCGCTACCTTCCACATATCGGATCTCCGATACTTGCAGTACCGACATGTTTTAAGAATTTTCGATTTGGTACCCAAGTATCTGTTCTTGTGACATCCCTAACAGGGACTAGGAACCTTTCGAGGAACCGGGGTCTAAAACAAGTTCCAGGGACTTTACCTTTTATTTGTTTTACACTGCGTGAGAAGTTAATCAGTCCTGTATCTACAGTGAAACCCACGTCTCTTCCTGGAACTAAGACTACGTTCCCTTCAGTAAATATTCTGTTCATCACTTAAAACTAAATCTGTAAACCAGAACACACGTTTTCTCCCCCTTTTCTTTTCAGCTAAAACAACTTCTTAAACTTCAAACATCATCTTATCTTACTACGATCGACTGTCTCTCATGATCAAGCACTTTGTGACTAGTTGTCATCATCATTATATTTATACCTGTTTATGAAGTAAAAATTAACATGTTAAAAGCATTGACCCTAATATGCAGAACTCCTCCTGTGGAAGGTTAAAAAGGTGAACAGCCGCCACAATAAGACGACTCAGCAGGTGAATTCGGTCCAGCGCCTCCTCTGACAGGCGGACATTTTCCATAACTAGAACCCCGTACCATCGTCTCTGTTCCCATCATGCCCGGCGGATGTACGGATGTGGGCCGAGCAGACTGATGAAGTTTCCACATTGTGTTTCTCGCTGTGGATACCGAGCGCGCTCAGAAGAGCTCAGGCGACCTGGCAGCACATCGCAGCGCCGCTAATTAGAAGCAACAGCCAGAGCAAACAAACAACGGCAGCATATGGCCGCCACATTTCCTCTTCTTCTCCTCCTCCTCCTCCTCCTCTCACACACACTTTGACATCTCACTCCTCCGAAGCAGCGGCAGCGTTTCTAAACCCAGAACTGAGACTTCCAGGAGCTGCTCGACTAAACCTGGAACCGACTTTAAAACAGATGGTAAAGGAAAAAAAAACATTTTATGACTGAACGAGACTACAAAGTTCTGCTGAACAAAGCTGCCATATGAAGCAGGGAGCTCAGGGTTTGGGTCCAAGATGTTAGCCATATTTCATTAACCCTTTAATGCCAGAGTATGAGCAGGATTCGCCTCATTCAGAGTCTGCAGATAGATGTAACACTACAGAAAAAGATCATTTCCTACAGCTGTATTTACATGTAATTCAAGGCATGTGAGCGGTGTGCACGACTTTACCTTCAGTCTAATGTAAGTCGCATGTTTTTATGTTGTGTCATTCTTCAGGTATTATGTCTTGTTGTAGTTTCTTGTCCCATACTGGACTGAGCGTCTGTCTGTGTGTTTATGTTGGACCAGCCTTTTATTCATTTTAGGGATCATATCTGTATATTATCGTTACTTAAGCCGCGTTCAGACTGCAGGCCAAGGTGACTCAGATCTGATTTGTTTATAACAGTGTGAACACGTCACAAGGACTCTGTCATATGTGGTCAAAATCAGACACAGGTCAGGCCGTCTGAATTGTGGACAGTCAGATCGGAGTTAAACGTGAAAGGCTTTTTCTTGACCGTATATGTAACAGTGATTGCGTACTTGTGAGGTTAAAAGCCGTCTTGCGAGACTCACGCAATTCACATTTTCCACACGCCGTGAAAAACAAATGATTAACTGATAACGTCGACAGCGAAAAAATGTTTTTCACTTTTCCAGCTGTTTGGGAAACAACAGACGGACTTTTCTTGGTCTTGAGAAGCTGACACACTGTAACCCACACTCAGACAAACACTCGCTATACGCACCTCCCGATACCTTATAACAGCACCTGTCACGTAGATGATGATGGAAAATTTAGTAGCGGCGGTCATAATTCAGCAACATGCAGAGCGAATCAACTGGCACACGACGTGATAGTAATCAAGTGAACCTGACAGTTGAGTGGTAATGTAGCTGGTAGAGTTTTACAATATGAACATCTAATAAAAACTAAAGCAGCCTCGCTCTGTTTGGGACGGTGAGCTGCTGAAGTTCACATGTGAGGATTTGTGGTGAGATTTCAGCCTGATCACAAGGGTTTCACCTAGTTTCAGTTTCCGCTTCCTTGTCTCATCCTAACATACAGTCCCAAACGGGTTTCTGTGTCTGTCAGACGGCCTGAAGGGGAAACTACTAGCTGGGCAATAACATAATGCGCAGCAGAGTATAGGACAGGTAGACAGGTAAAAAGCTGCAGAAACACAGGAGCTATTAAAGTCCAGGAGTTTCTAACTGAATTAATTTCTCATTGAGGTGAAAAGGAGCCACATGCACATTTAAAGAGGTCACTTCCCCAAACAGAGACACAAAGAGGAGGGAAGGCTGAATCATGAGTAAGCAGGGATGATATTAAATAAGAGGAGAAACAGATCTGAGAGCAGCACAGACTTGGATTCTGTAGAGGTTTAGAAAAAATTCATAAAATTCGGCATTGATTTCTTAAAAATAGTGTGAAAATCTCTTCCTGTCACACCCCTTAGTGTTCAGGCCTGTTCATGTGAGACTCTGCAGCGTTGTTAGAATAATGACCAAATAAAGTTTCATCTCTCCAGATACTTCTTGTTAAACTTCTTGTTAAACATTTTGGTGGATCAGTGCTTTATGTGCTGCAGTTCAATCATTTCAAATTCAATGCAAATAACAACACATGGTTTTTTTGATGCTGAAAAGCCACCAAACTTGACATGCTGATCCAGTCTGTCCAGCGGGTGGCGCTGTCGCACATATTTTACGGTAAGATTTTAGCTCCAGGTCACCAAATCCAGCATGTTCTCCAAAACTGTACTCACAAAGCCAACGATGACAGTGATCGGCCCGGTTTGACCGACCTTCTGAGCCTGGTTTACCTGCTTCAAGTCCAGCTGGTGGTGTTTTTAGAGCTGGGTTATTCAAACTAGGTGCTGCAAAGTTAGTCTGATATGAAGCTTT